TGCAGTCCAGGGCCAGGCACTGGGCCTAGCGGGCAGCACCCCTTTCCCTCCCTCAGCCCAGGGCTCACTCATCACACCCTACCCATTCTGCTTCTCCTGCCTGGGAGACAGGATGAATGAACTAGAGACACGGGCCAGCAAACAGGGATGGACAACAGGAGCACAGGGAAGGATGCGGACAGGGACAGACAGCAACAGAGGACGGACAAGTGAACTGTGTGCCTGTCTACACCACCGCGCTTGGTCTGGGGCCCCCGACAGACACCAGGAGGCCATGAACCCCACCAAGGCCCATGCTGTGAATGTCAGCAACTCTCATGAGTTTCTTCAAGAGGGTTCCTGGCAAAGTCAAGAACCACTGTGGCTCCAGGACAAACTCCTAGCTTACAGGTGCACACATTAAGGCCCACAGGGAGGACAAAGACCCCCCGAGTCCCCACAAGTGAGCAACCCACTCCACTGAACTGCCTAAACCCAGAAGCCCCCCAGAAGCCTGTCTCCAAACCCACTGTGCTCAGAGCACTGAATGCCAAACTGGGATGCTGCAAAGCCCCTCGAGAGAGGCCCCCACCTAGCCTTACCTTGGTGCGCCCGTTGATGACATAGCTGCCCAGCCGCCCTGCGCAGTGGCGGATGACGGCGTCCACGTGGGCCATGAGGGCACCAATGCTTCGGCAGCCTGCTTCATGGCCTTCCACCCAGGCAATCTGGTCCCCACGGATGCTGCGCGGCGGGATCGCCCGCTGGCTCACTAGCTGCCCGTCTCGCAGGCGCCCACCCCGTTTGAGGGCCTCCACCTCGGCCAGCACGCGGCCACCCAGCGCTGCCCCCAGGAAGCTGTCCTTGACGCAGATGCCGTAGTACCGCATGCAGGGCACGATATAGTCCAGGGCCAGGCGCTCAGGTGCAGAGGGCAGCACCTCCTCCATCAGCCCAGCACTGGCCTCACCACTGCCACTGCTGCAGCCGCAGCTCATGCCACCCTCCCGCTCTGCCTCCTGGTTCTCTTGCCTGGCCCAGGGCCGCTTGCTGGGTGAAGGGGCATCCCCACCATCCTCGGCCCATTTCCGTTTGGGGGCCTCAGGCCGGGCGCCCTGGGCTGCCAGTCGCTGGCACCCCTTGGTGACCAGCGCTGCAGCGCCTTCACTCTGCAGCGGCCGCAGCTCACCACCATCCTGCCCGCCAAAACCGTCCCGAAGGGGGCTGGCAGTGGTAGAGGTGGCTGTAGCTCTGGGAGTCCCACTCCCCGCCGAGGCCTCACTAGGCACTCCTGGGCAGTGGTAGGAGGGGAGCAGGGGACAGGGCAGGTAACTCTCCACCCCCATCCTGGCCCGGCCAGGCTCCAAGGGCTCTGACGAAGACCCTGGTAACTGAGGGAGAGCCTGACTTAGGGGCTGCGACTGGCACGGGCTGTCCATGGCAGCAGTGTCTTCATCCCCCGGGCATGGAGGGCACCGCCCGGGCCCATGGTGCCACCCTCCTCCGCCTCCTCCTCTGCCTCTTGATGCAGCTGGGGGCCACCAGGCCTGGCGTGGGGCAGGGTGAGGCAGGGCAGACAGCAAGAGCTCTTCTCGTGCCCTGGGGGTTGCTTGCTGGTCCCCAAGTCCTCTGCCGTCCCTAAGGGCTTGGGAAGGGACCCTTCAGGGTGGCTAGAAAAAGGAAAAAGAAAAGGGATGTGAGAGGAGCTAGAGACAGGCAGGGTAGGGAAAGAGGGGATGGTATGGGCAGGAGTGGGGAAGACGACCAGTACAGACTTGACTATAGAGGTCCCCCAAAACCTGAGGCCAAGTCGGGGAGAAGACCCTGAGAATCTGGAGGTGTGAGAGTCCGCTGACAGACAAGGGACAGTGATAGGGAAAGGCTGGAGACCAGAGGCTGGGTAGATGACCCTAAGACAGAGGACTGTGGTGCGGGTTGTGGGACGCGGTAACCAAAGACAGAGAAAGGAGGGCTGGAGTAGAAAAGGGTGATGTGGAGGGGTGGGAAGGAGGGAGTTTGGAAAATAGGAGGGATCTGCCTCGGCGTTCCAGAGAGAGACAGAGAAATGTGGGGGATTCTGAGAGAATCAGAGTTGGGGGCGGGGGGGTCAAAAGACAGAGGAAACTGGGGAGTCCAAAGACAAAGAGAATGAGGGGCCCAGAGACAGAGAAACAGACCGGAGGGAAGCTGGGAGGGAGGGCCCGGGACGGAGCGGGGCGGTAGGGTCGACCCGAGCCCGACGGGAGGAAGCCGGCCGGGGGCGGACACACGCCCAGGCGGAAGGGAGGTCCCGAGACTGACCGAAGGGAGGGGCCCTCGGGGAGAGGGTCCGCGGCGGCAGAGGGAAGGACGGAGGAGGGTGCACGCACCCGGAGACAGGACGAGGGAAAAAGGCACCCTCCTCCAGGGCACCCCCACGCCCCCAATCCGGGTGGGCCCTGAGGCCACTTTGGAGAGCAGTAGCGACAGGGACAGGGCCTAGGGGCCGCTCGGACCCCCTCCTCTCCCCCTCCCCTCGGCCTCCGCCCGGCGCGCGCTCCCCGCCCCCACCCCCAACCCCCCCAACGGCCGGCACCCAACGTCCCCGGCGCGCGTCCCCTCCCCCGCGCCGCACCCACATCCCCCTTACCGGGGTCGCCCCGGCAGGCCCCGGCGGGCGCCCCCACACCCCGCCCTGTTCGCGTCGGCGCCCCGGCTCCGACTCAGTCTCCTCCCGCTCCCTTCTCGCCCCGCGACCTCCTCACCAAGCTTTTTCCTCCGGCCCCGGCGCCGCCGTTTGTGCCAGCCGCCCTGCGCCGCACAGCGCGCCATACCCCGCCCCCACCGCGCGCGACGCCCCGCCCCGCCTCGCCCGTTGGGCACGTGACCGCGCCCCCGCGGAGGCAACGGCGCCTGCGCAGACCTGAGCCGCGCTGGGCGAAGTTCGGGACAAGCCCCCAGCCAAGGAGAAAGGAAACAGGGCTCCGTGGCCGACACGAGGTTCATTTGCATCATCCTCCGCCCCGCCCCCTTTGCGCGGGAGGGGGATCGCAGTGTGAGGGGCCGGGTCTGGGAGGGGGCGTTTCCTGCATGTTGGAATCAAGTGGCGTTGGCGGGGCGGAGCACGCAAATGATGTGATTTACATGAACAGGCCCACCCCGCGTTCCCCCTCAGCGCGGGCACCGGGTTCGGCAGCGCGGTGCGCGTGACTTCATTTACAGGGTCAGCTCCTCCTCCTCCTCGCTGCCCAGGAACGGGGGTGAGATGGATAAATGGCTGCGCAGTTAGTTGGCAAATGTATGTAAATTCGCACGTCAGTAAGTAATTTACATAAGTATCTTTTATAACGGAGGAGAAAAAGTGCGGGATGCCCTTGAGAAAAGGGAACGCGGACTAGAAGGGATGTTGTGCCAATGTGTATTTTCAAGACCCGCTCCGCCCTGCCCCCTCGGGACAATCGTGGGAATCAGAATAAAGAACCAGGGAAAGTCTGGGCAACAGAGTGAGACCTTATCTTTACACAAAATTAAAAAATGAAATAAAAAAAAAATCCACGGAACGCTACAGAGCTGGGAACATTTTGGGGGACTAAGGTATAAGGTCATTTTGAATGCCCCGCCCCCTCCACCGTAACTCTGGAGAGCTGGGACTCAAGGCTCCCGCGGGGTCGGTAAGGCGGACGCGGAGGTGGGAGGGCGACGAGCAACTGGGAGTGTCTTCAGGGGGCTGCACCAGTCCCCAGCAGGCCACCTGAGGGCGTAGGGCAGTTCGCGTGAGCACAAGGACATGCATACTGGTATCTACACATGCGTGAGAATTGCACAAAAACCCGCAGTCCTCAGGGCACACACAGGGTTCATGGCCACACAAGGGTGTTTCTTGTTTAGTTTTGTTTTTGAGATGGGGTCTTACCCTTCTGCCCAGGCTGAAGTGCTGTGGCACGATCACAGTTCACTGCAGGCCCAACCTCCCAACTAAAGTGATCCTCACCACTCAGCTTCCGGTGTAGCTGGGACTTCAGGTGTGTACCATGACACCTGGCTAACTTTTTCTGTTTTTTATTTTTGTAGATAGGGTCTCTCTGTGTTGCCCAGGCTAGTCTCCAACTCCTGGGCTCAAGTGATCCATCTGCCTTGGCCTCCCAAAGTGCTGGGATTACAGGCGTGAGCCACCACACCTGGCCACACATGGGTGTTTAAAAGGAGCCAAATTCACACCGAAACACACACAGACCTCAGGGGCACACATGCACAGGCACACAAGCAGTAGTGAGCCACTGCCTCTGATTCTCAGGCATCAGGCATGCACAGACCGGAGGCCCACCGATAGGTTCAAATTCCCAAACAATACCAGCCTCACCAATACACTCACCAATACAATCACCAAGGCCACAGAGCAGTTACAGCTATCAGCATCACACACAACCAGCACACATTCCTATAGACATCATCCCATACGCAGGTACTGGAAACATGTACACGTCACAAACACAGGGACATCAGCATGTTTACACACTTGAGCTTAGAACACAGATTGTCACAAACTGTCCACACAGTAACAAATTCCCTCCCTCCGCAACAGGCACCTGAGTCATCATGCTTGGCATACCCCACACCATGTCCAATCAGGAAACAAGGCCCCCAAGGCCATGCTGGTGGCTCACACCTGTAATTCCAGCACTTTGACAGGCCGAGGCGGGTGGACCACCTGAGGTCGGGAGTTTGAGACCAGCCTGACCAACATGGAGAAACCCCATCTCTACTAAAAATACAACATTAGCCGAGCATGGTGGCGCATGCCTGTAATCCCAGCTACTCGGGAGGCTGAGGCAGGAGAATCTCTTGAACCCGGGAAGTGGAGGTTGTGGTGAGCCAAGATCGCGCCATTGCACTCCAGCCTGGGCAACAAGAAGGAAACTCCCATCTCAAAACAAACGAACAAACAAAAAACAGAAACAAGGCCCCCAAACACCATGATATTTGATTCTTCCATCAGGGACCTCTTCCATCTCCCTGCCATCTCAGAATAATGGAGGCCAAGACACAGGTGTAAACAATGCTTTATGGGGGTAGGGTGGGTGCTGGACGGGCCTCCAGGTAATAAATAACAGGTACTAGCAACAGCAGGGCCAGGCAGGGAGGTAGGGACAAATGACCCTGGTCTCAGGCTTTGGGAGCTCTGGGGTATGGTTAGGGGTTCAGGGGGACAGAGGTTAGCCAAGACAGAGGAAGCAGCAGCAGGTACGGGATCCCCCTTCCCCTGTGGCTCAGTCTTGCCCCAAAGCCAGGCCCCACCAAGGAAGGGGGACAGGTGGCGGCACAGCTTCTCCGGGGCCAGGGCAGGTTGGGACACGGCCTCTCGGAGCCTGGGCCTGGGCCCCAGCCGGAAGGGCAGGGCTGGTCCTGAAGAACAGGTGAGCTGAAAGAGAAGGGTGTGGTGACCTGCAGGGTCCCTGGGGTCTGTCCAGCTAGTCTCTATCTCATTTCCAGGTATTTCCCTGCCCTCCTATCTGCATTGGTCTGTCCATACCTTTCTTCTCCCAATTTCTACATTGTCTGATTTTCCGTCTCTCCCCTGCAGGTAATTTGGGGCTTGCGCTGAGGGTACCTGCATCTCCCTGTTTGTTTGCCTCAGAAAGCTAAGTCTGTAAAGCCACATTTCAACATCTAAATATCATGAATCTGGCTGGACGCAGTGGCTCACGCCCGTAATCCCAGCACTGTGGGAAGCCAAGGCAGGAGGATTGCTTGAGCCCAGAAGTTTAAGACCAGCCTAGGCGGCACCACGAAACCCCATCTCTACAAAAAAATACAAACATTAGCCAGGCGTAGTGGCATGCACCAGCAGTCCCAGCTACCTGGGGGGCTGAGGTGGGAAGATGGCTTGAGCCTGAGAGGTGGAGGTTGCAGTGAGCCAAGATTGTGCCACTGCACTCCAGCCTAGGCAACAGAGTGAGACTGTCTCAAAAAAATAAATAGGCTGGGCACAGTGGCTCACACCTGTAATCCCAGCACTTTGGGAGGCCAAGACGGGCAGACCACAAGGTCAGAAGTTCAAGACCAGCATGGCCAATGGTGAAACCCCGTCTCTACTAAAAATACAAAAATTAACCAGGCATGGTGGCAGGCGCTTGTAGTCCCAGCTGCTTGGCAGGCTGAGGCAGGAGAATCGCTTGAACCCAGGAGGCGGAGGTTGTAGTGAGCCAAGATCACACCACTGCACTCCAGCCTGGGTAGCAGAGGGAGACTCTGTATCTCAAAAAAAAACTAAATAAATAAATAAATAAAATGAACCTGCCTTTGTATCTTTCTGAGTCCCTCTATGTTCCTGGATCACCCTGGCTCTAAGTCTCATTTCAGTGTTCCCCAAACTGGGGAGACGTTAGGTTAGTGTTTCTCGCTTTGGTTGTATATAGCATTAACTGAGAGCTTCCAGAAATGCTGAAACTGGCTGGCTCATGTCTTTAATCCCAGCATTTTGGGAGGCCAAGGCAGGAGAATCGCTTGAGGCCAGGAGTTTGAGACCAGCCTGGGCAACATAGTGAGACCCCATCTCTATTTATGTTTTAATTAAGAAAAAAAAAGTCCTGAAACCACTTCAGAATCTCTGGGCATCAGTATATTTTAAAGTTCTCCAGGTAATTCTAACGTGTGTCACTACCTTGGTGGGGAAATCAGTTTGGTGGGCCTTGACCAATTTTTAAATTCAAATAGAATAGCATAGAACAGCAAATATCAGAGTGCATCCCATATAATAAGAATATTCTATTGGTTAGGCGGGTGCAGTGGCTCAAACCTATAATCCTAGCACTTTGGGAGGTAAAGGCAGGAGAGGATCACTTAGGCCCAGGAGTTCGAGACCAGCCTGGGCAACACAGACACTGTCTCTACAAAATTAAAACATTATTTAAAAAAAAATTTTTTTTTTTTTTTAAATGCAGGTGCATCACCTGAGGTCAGGAGTTTGAGACCAGCCTGGACAACATGTTGAAACCCTGTCTCGGCCGGGCGTGGTGGCTCAAGCCTGTAATCCCAGCACTTTGGGAGGCCGAGGCGGGTGGATCATGAGGTCAGAAGATCGAGACCATCCTGGCTAACACGGTGAAACCCCGTCTCTACTAAAAATACAAAAAACTAGCCAGGCGTGGTGGCGGGCGCCTGTGGTCCCAGCTACTCGGGAGGCTGAGGCAGGAGAATGGCGTGAACCCAGGAGGCGGAGCTTGTAGTGAGCTGAGATCGCGCCACTGCACTCCAGCCTGGGCGACAGAGCGAGACTCCGTCTCAAAAAAAAAAAAAAAAGAAACCCTGTCTCTACTAAAAATACAAAGAAATTAGCTGGGCATGGTGGTGGACACTTGTAATCCCAGCTACTAGGGAGGCTGAGGCAGGAAAATCACTTGAACTTGGGAGGCGGAGGTTTCAGTGAACCGAGATCACACCATTGCACTCCAGCATGGGCAACATGAGCGAAACTCCATCTCAAATAATAATAATAATTTAAAAAGATATATTATATTGGTTGGCTGGGCTCGGTGGCTTATGTCTGTAATCCTAGCACTTTAGGAGGCTGAGGTAGAGGATTGCTTGAGGCCAGGAGTTTTTTTGTTTTGTTTTGGTTTGGGTCTTTTTTTTTTTTTTGAGACGGAGTCTCGCTCTGTCACCCATGCTGGACTGCAGTGGCGCGATCTCGGCTCACTACAACCTCCACTTCCAGGGATCAAACGATTCCTCTGCCTCAGCCCCCTGAGTAGCTGGGATTACAGGCGCATGCCACCACGCCCAGCTAATTTTTGTATTTTTAGTAGAGATGGGGTTTTACCATGTTGGTCACCCTGGTCTCGAACTCCTGACCTCGTGATCTGTCTGCCTCAGTCTCCCGAAGTGCTGGGATTACAGGCGTGAGCAACCACACCCGGCAAGGCCAGGAGTTTAAGACCAACCTGGCTAACATAGTGAGACCGTATCTCAAAAAAAAAAAAAAGAAAAAAAGAAAAGAAAAAAGGAAAAGAGGCCAGGCATGGTGGCTCCCACCTGTAATTCCAGCACTTACAGGAATGCTGAGGTGGGTGAATCACGTGAGTTCAGGAGTTTGAGACCAGCCTGAGCAACATAGTGAAACCCCATCTCTTCAAAAAACAAAAATACAAAAATTAGCCGGGCGTGGCGGTGCACACCAGAAGTCCCAGTTACTTGGAGGGCTGAGATGGGAAGATGACTTGAGCCCAGGAGGTCAAGGCTGCAGTGAGCTGAGATGGTGCCACTGCACTCGAGCCTGGGTGACAAAGTGAGAACCTTCTCAAAAAAAAAGATAAAGGAAAATAATATTATATTGGCCAACAGAGACAGAAAACAAATTGGTAGTTGCCAGGGGCTGGGGGAATGGAGAATGACTGCTTAATAAGTATGGGGTTTCCTTTTAGTGTAATGAAAACATTCTGAGGCCGGGCACAGTGGCTCACGCCTGTAATCCCAGCACTTTGGGAGGCCGAGGCGGGTGGATCACCTGAGGTCAGGAGTTCGAACCAGCCTGGCTAACATGGTCAAACCCCGACTCTACTAAAAATACAAAAATTAGGTGGGTGTGGTGGTGCATGCCTGTCATTCCAGCTACTCCAGAGGCTGAGGCAGGAGAATCGCTTGAACCAGGGAGGCGGAGGTTGCGGTGAGCCAAGATCGCTCCACTGCACTCTAGCTGGGTAACAGAGCGAGACTCTGTCTCAAAAAAAAAAAAAGGAAAACATTCTGGAACAGCACAGAGGTGGTGATTGCACAACCCTGTGAATGTCCTGAATGCCATTGCATTGTACACTTTGAAAAGTCACGTAAATGTATGTTATGTGACTTTCACTTCAGTGCCAAAAAACGAAAGAATACTGGTGGTAGGAAAATGTGTCTGAGTTTTATATGTGGGTGGGATCTTCTACAGTCAGTCCTAGATCAACACGTAAAATATATTTCTTCCTGCAGATTGCAGTCCACAAAGTGTGAAAAAGGCTTGCCTTGTTACATTTGACCTACTGAGGGCGAACTCTAGGACAGAGTCTCTGCTACGCCCTGAGGTGAAGAGGGCACACCCATTCCTTTGAGCTCAGCCCAAAGATGGCTAAGAAGAAAACTTTAAAAACAGCCCTCATCGATCAAGTCTTGACCACAAGGCGCCATTCTGAGCACTTTCGTGAATTAACTTATTTCTTCTCAACACCTATAGAAGCAGGTGCTATTATTAGCCTCATTTTACAGATAAGCAAACTTCTTGCCCAGGCACAGCAGGTGCAAAGTGCTGGAAGGACAAGAGAGCACTTTCTGAAGACATCATCCTTGATTCCTCTCTCTCTTTCAGATTACACATCCATTCCATCAGGAAATCATGTTGGCTCTGCCTTCCAAGTAGATCCAAGGTCTAACCACCTGTTCCCCACCTGTCCCACCCTGGAGCTGCCAAGGGCTGGGAGGGGATTGAGCATGAAGTATAGAAGGGAGAATTGGCAAGACATACACATCCCCCAGAGAGGGGGTATGGGACCAAATCCTGCAGGGTTTTGAAAGCCTGTCAAGAAGTTTGGGTCCGGGTGCAGTGGCTCACGCCTATAATCCCAGCACTTTGGATGCGGAGGTGGGTGGATCACTTGAGGCCAGGAGTTTGTGAGCAGCTGGCCAACATGGTGAAACCCTGTCTCTACTAAAAATACACAAAATTAGCAGGCATTGGTGGCCGGTGCCAATAGTCCCAGCTACTCAGGAGGCTGAGGCACCAGAATTGCTTGAACCCAGGAGCGAAGGTTGCAGTGAGCTGAGATCACGCCATTGCACTCCAGCCTGGGTGACAGAGTGAGACTCTATCTCAAAAAAAAAAAAAAAAAAAAAGTTTGGACCAAGCATGGAGGAACAAGTAGTGCTTCCTGGAGGAGGGAAGGAGGTTGCCAGGGAAAATAGGGTAGGAATGGTGTTGCAGGCAGAGGCCCAGCATGATGAGCAAGGGCCCAGAGGAATGGGAAGAACTTCAGTGTGGCTGGAGTGGCCTGAGAGGTAGGGAGACGGACAAGTGGCTGAGGCCGGTGAGGCTGGGCTGGCAGGGGCCAGTCCCTGCAGAGGGTCAAACACCAGGCTGAGGAGTTCTGCTGGGTCCTGGGACCCTGAGAGGCATGGATGGTTTTGAACAAGGGAGCGAGAGGAGCAGATGTGTGTGTTAGAAAGACCCAGGGGCCGCATCAAAAGGAGACAGGATTGGTCGGGCGCAGTGGCTCAGGCCTGTAACCCCAGCACTTTGGGAGGCCAAGGCGGGTGAATCACCTGAGGTCAGGAGTTTGACACCAGCCTCACAAACATGGCAAAACCCATCTGTATTTAAAATACAAAAATTGACCAGGTCCAGTGGCTCACGCCTGTAATCCCAGCACTTTGGGGGGCCAAGGCGGGTGGATCATGAGGTCAGGAGATCAAGACCATCCTGGCTAACACGGTGAAACCCCGTCTCTACTAAAAATACAAAAAATTAGCCAGACATGGTGGCACGCGCCTGTAGTCCCAGCTACTTGGGAGGCTGAGGCAGAAGACTTGCTTGAACCCAGGAGGCGGAGGTTGCAATGAGCCGAGACCATGCCACTGCACTCCAGCCCAGGTAACAGAGTGAGACTCCGTCTCAAAAAAAAAAAAAAAAAAAAATTAGCTGGCCATGGTGGTACACACCTGTAATCCCAGCTACTTGGGAGGCTGAGGCAGGAAATTCACTTGAACCCAGGAGGCGGAGGTCACAGTGAGCCAAGATGGTGCCACTGCACTACAGCCTGGGTGACAGAGTGAGATTCTAAAACAAAACAAAACAAAAAATGGCTCACGCCTGTAATCTCAACACTTTAGGAGCCCGAGGCAGGCGGATCACGAGGTCAGGAGATCGAGACCAACCTGGCTAACACGGTGAAACCCCGTCTCTACTAAACAAAATACAAAAAATTAGCTGAGCGTGGTGGTGGGCGCCTGTAGTCCCAGCTACTTGGGAGGCTGAGGCAGGAGAATGGCGTGAACCTGGGAGGCAGAGCTTGCAGTGAGCTGAGATCACGCCACTGCACTCCAGCCTGGGTAACAAAGCGAGACTCTGTCTCAAAAAAATAATAATAAAAAAGGACTGAAGAAAAAAATATATATATTGGCCAAAACTGGAAGACAAAGAGTCTAGGGAGGACATGGACCCTATTCCTTTCTCAGCCATTCCTCTACCTGCCCCTTCGTCCTGTCCTCCACCATTTCTTCCCTGGACTTGGCAGCAGCTTCCTCTCTCGTGTCCTGGTGACCCCCTCTGCCCCTCACAGTCTCTTCTCTTTATGCAGGCAGAGGAACTCTGTGAACCCCTGAATCGGATCCTGTCCCTCCTCTGTTCAGAAGCTTCCCGTGGCTCCCACACAGGGTATAAGCCAGAGGCTTCCCCAGGGCCTACAGGCCCTAACTGATCTGCTTCCTCCAACCCCTGACCCCATCTCATGTTGTACCCGCAACACACACACAGGTCCTCCATGACGCCCACACTGGCTGCTTCGGTCACCCTCACCCACGCCAGGCATGCCCCTCACTAGCAGCGTTGCACTTGCTGTGCTCTCAGGCAACGCTCTTGCCCCAGATCTCCACAGGCCTCCCTGTCTCCCCTCCTTTACTCAAATTCATCTTCTCAGTGAGGCTTCCATCATCTTGTTTAAAAGTACACTCTAGGCCAGGTGCGGTGGCTGACACCTGTAATCCCAGCACTTTGGGAGGCTGAGGTGGGTGGATCACGAGGTCAAGAGATCGAGACCAACCCGGCCAACATGGTGAAACCATCTCTACTAAAAACACAAAAATTAGCTGGGCATGGTGGCACACACCTGTAGTCCTACCTACTCGGGAGGCTGAGGCAGGAGAATCGCTTGAACCCAGGAGGCAGAGGTTGCAGTGATGCCACTGCACTCCAGCATGGTGACAGAGCGAGATTCCATCTCAAAAAAAAAAAAAAGAAAAGAAAAAAAGGACGGGTGCAGTGGCTCACGCCTGTAATCCCATTACTTTGGAAGGCCAAGGCGGGCCGATACAAAAAATTAGCCAGGCGTGGTGGTAGTCACCTGTAATCTCAGCTACTCATGAGGCTGAGGCGGGAGAATCACTTGAACCCCAGAAGCAGAGGTTACAGGGAGCCGAGATCGTGCCACAGCACTCCATCCGGGGTGACAGAGCGATACCCTGTCTCAAAGGGAAAAAAAAGTACACTCCTCCACCCTATCCACCCGTTTGTGCTTGTTTTATTTTTCTCCATAGTTCTTACCTTTCTCACTACTATCTACTTTACTTATGTATTTCTTTTCTTTCTTTCTTTCTTTTTTTTTGGAGACAGTCTCGTTCTGTCACCCAGGCTGGAGTGCAGTGGTGCATGGTCACAGCTCACTGCAGCCTCGAACTCCTGGGCTCAAGTCATCCTCCCACCTCAGCCTCCTGAGCAGCTGGGACTCCAGGTGCACACTACCACGCCTAACTAATTTTAAAAAACTTTTTGTGGAGATAAGGTTGCTTTGTTGCCCAGCCTGGTCTCAAAGTGATCTTCCCATCTCACCCTGCCAAAGTGCTGGGATTACAGGTGTGAGCCACTGCACCCAGCCGACTCACATCTCGTTTATCACCTGTCTCCTCCAAAGAGAATGTCAGCACCATGAGGATGGGAGTCTGTTTTACTCCCTGCTATATCCCCAGTGCCTTGAGCAGGGCCTGGCACACAGCAGGCGCTCAATGAATTGTTGCAGAACTATGAATGGAAGGGTCAAGGTCTAGGGCAGGAAGCTGGCCTGGAGCTGCAGGGGACAGGTGGATTCCCTGTGGCCTGGAAGATGTCTCCTTTTTTTTTTTTTGAGACAGAGTCTTGCTCTGTGGCCCAGTTTGGAATGCAGTGGCTAAATCTCGGCTTACTGCAACCTCCACCTCCCAGGTTCAAGTGATTCTCCCGCCTCAGCCTCCTGAGTAGCTGAGAATATAGGCATGTACCACCACGCCTGGCTAATTTTTGTATTTTTAGTAGAGAAGGGGTTTCACCATGTTGGCCAGGCTGGTCTCGAACTCCTGACCTTATGTATTCCCCCGCACCACATGCAACCCCTCTGCCTGTGTCCCCTCATCCCACCCTGACCCCTCTGCCTGCCCTATCCCACCCCCGATCCCTCTGCCTGTGCCCCGACCCTCGCCCTGACCCCCCTGGGCCTCTCCCCTGCTGGCTCTGACCCATCTCCCCCAGTCTCCCAGTGCTTCCCCATCTGGTCCTGACCTTTCTTTTTTTTTTTTTGAGACGAAGTCTCGCTCTTGTCACCCAGGCTAGAGTGCAATGGCGTGACCTCAGCTCACTGCAACCTCCACCTCCTGGGTTCAAGCGATTCTCCTGCCTCAACTTCCCAAGTAGCTGGGATTACAGGCGCCTGCCACCACACCCGGCTAATTTTTGTATTTTTAGTAGAGAGGGGGGGTTTCACCATGTTGGCCAGACTGGTCTCGAACTCCTGACCTCAGGTGATCTACCCGCCTCAGCCTTCCAGAGTGCAGGGATTACAGGTGTGAGCCACTGTGCCCAGCCTGGCCCTGACGTTTCTGAGCTGTCACTGTCTGGAAGTGGGTCCGTCCCTCCACCCCCACCCAATGAACTGCCTCCGCCCACCTGGGCCTCCCAAAGCGCTGAGATTACAGGCCACTGCACCCAGCCAGATGCCTGCTTTAGCTTGTGTGCTTTTGCATCTTTCTCTCTCACTCTGTTTCTCTTGCCATGACATGTTCAGTGTCTTTCTCCACACCACCTCCCCCATTCCCAGGAGACCACCCTGCCTCTCTGAGCCCCCAGTGTCCCACCTGGCTCCGCAAGGCTCAGCAGCCACACGGCTGAGGGGCCACGGCCTGGGCACTCCGAGGCTGCCGAAGCTGGCGGAGGGACGCGTCCCCGTACTGGATGCCGGATCCCATCCTCTCGGGGTCTAGCTCGCCTGTCGGGGAAGGGGAGAGGTCAGCACTGTGGCCTGGAGACCCCCAGGCCTGCCCTCCGCTCCCACTCGGGCCGGTCGGGGCCTCACCTGAGTCAATCTTGTTGAGGATGGTGCGGGCACACTTGAGGAACGCCTCTTCCACGTTCTCACCTGTGAGAGCGCTGGTCTCCAGAAACATCAACTCTGCAGGGGCACACACTCTGAGGTCAAGGCCCCAGTCAGTCCCCACCCTTCACTGAGCTCTCACCTGCTGACTCTCATCCTGTTCCTCCAATGTTCCATCTCTGCTTACCCTCACCTCAGGCCTCCGCGCATGCCATTTCCCTGCAACTGATGTCCACTTCCCCGCCACTGATGTCCACTTCCCCATATGCCCACCCAGCTCTTCCTTCAGAGCTCAGCTCACACAGCTCCTCCTCCAGGAAGTCCTCCCTGACTGCCTAGGCTGGGTAAGGTGCCTACTTAGGGCTCCCATAGCTTCTTGTGGCCCCCTATCCTGGCCCTGACCCCTCTACTTGTGCCTCCTCATTCTGGCCCCAACTCTCTGCCTGGGTCCCCGTTGTACCCCCCAGACCCTTCTGCCTGGGCCTGCCCCATTCCACCCCTGGCCCCTCTGCCCATGCTCCCCCATCCCATGCAAACACTCTGCCTGTGCCCCCCAAACTTGGCCTTGACCCCTCTACCTGGGCTCCCCATCCCACCCCAACCCTCTGCTCATGCTCCCCATTCCATGTAACTCCTCTCCCTGTGCCCCCTTATCCCACCTGACCCCTCTGCCTGTGCCTGCCTTATCCGAGCCCTGACCCCTCTACCTGTGCCTGCCCTATCGCAGCCCTGACCCCTCTGCTTGTGTTCTCCATCCCACCCCAATCCCTCTGCCTGCTTCCCCAATCCTGGCCCTGGCCCCTCTGGGGCCCTCCCCTGCTGGCTCTCACCCCTCTCTCCCGGTGCTTCGCCATCAAGCCCTGGCCTTTCTGGGCTGTCACTGTCTGGCAAGCGGGTCTGTCCTTCCACCCCCACCCACTGAACTGTGAGCTCCAGGCAGGTTGGGCCTAGGGCTGTCTCCAACACTGTGTCCCTAGCACCATCTAGGACAGGCACAGGCCAACCAGAGTTACCCATCAGCCTCGTGACAAGGTCCCACAGTCAGAAAATCAGAGCTGGATTCACACCCACACCTCTCTGATGGTAAAACCTCCTTTAAAACCTGGAGGTTGCAAACCAGGGGAACATAAGCAGATCTCAAGCCACCAGATGTGGGTGGTTTGGCCAACACAATGTTTTCAAACGAGTTTATACTTGCAAACCTTTTTTCTTTGTATTTTTCTTTGAGACAAAGTATCTCTCTGTCCCCTAGGCTGGAGTGCAGTGGTGTGATGATAGATCACTGCAGCCTTGAACTTCTGGGCTCAAGTGATCCTCCTGCCTCAACCTCCTGAGTAGCCCGGACCACAGGCCTATACCACCACACCCAGCTATTTTTTTTTTCTTTTTTTGTAGAGGTGGGGTCTCCTTCTGTTACACAGGCTGGTCTCAAACTCCTGACCTCAAGTGATCCTCCTACCTTGGCCTCCCAAAATGCTGGGATTACAGGTGTGAGCCATTGTGGTTGGCCCTTGCAAGTCTTTTGGTGTGGGTTGTCAGTATGCTGCACTCCCCTTAACACTAGTGCCTGTTACTCTAGGATCTACCCCATCCCATCTCCTATATTCAAAAATGTGCCTTTTGTCGGGTGTGGTGGCTCACACCTGTAATCCCAGCACTTTGAGGGGCTGAGGCGGGCGGATCACAAGGTCAGGAGTTCAAGATCAGCCTGGCCAATATGGTGAAACCCCGTCTCTACTAAAAATACAAAAATGTGTGGTGGCGTGTGCCTGTAGTCCCAGATACTCGGGAGGCTGAGGCAGAAGAATCACTTGAGGCCGGGCGCCGTGGCTCACGCCTATAATCCCAGCACTTTGGGAGGCCGAGGCGGGCGGATCACGAGGTCAGGAGATGGAGACCAGAGTGAAACCCCATCCCTACTAAAAATACAAAAAAGTAGCTGGGCGCGGTGGTGGGCGCCTGTAGTCCCAGCTGCTCAGGAGGCTGAGGCAAGAGAATGGTGTGAACCCGGGAGGCGGAGCTTGCAGTGAGCCGAGATTGCGCCACTGCACTCCAGCCTGGGCGACAGAGCTAGACTCCGTCTCAAAAAAAAAAAAAAAAAAAGAGGTTGCAGTGAGCCGAGATTGCACCACTGTACTCCAGTCTGGGTGACAGAGCAAGACTCCGTCTCAAAAAAAAAAAAAAAACTGCCTTTCACCTAGGGCCATCGGGGGTTGCAATCTCTACATTAAACCAATACCCGGGAAGGTGTGGTAGGAGGGAAAAATAGATAAAATAAAATATAATAAAATAATTAAACCAATACCCTGTGCTGCCTCCCCACTGTAGGCGAAACCTTAGCAGCCAATATTAATCTAGCACCCGCTCTGTGGCAGGTGCTGAGGACTTTCCACAGACAATCTCCCTTAATCATCACAGCACACTGTGAGGCGGAAACACTGTGATCCCACTTTCCAGATGAGGAAACTGAGAACCAGCATAATCACACAGCTCACTGGTGGCAACACTTAGGGTTTTTTTTGTTTGTTTTTTGTTTTTTTTTTTGGAGACAGGGTCTTGCTCTGTCTCCCAGATTAGAGTACGATGTCGTGATCACGGCTTACTGAAGTCTTAAACTCTCAGGCTCAGGTGATCTTCCTGCCTCAGCCTCCACTGTAGCTGGGACTACAGGTATAAGCCACCTAATTTTTAAAATTTTTTGTAGAGATAGGATCTCACTATGTTGTCCAGGCTGGTCTCAAACTCCTGGGCTCACGCAATCCTCCCACTTTGGCCTCCCAAACTGCTGGGATTACAGGTGTGAGCCACCATATCCAGCCAACACTCAATTTTGAACCCAGACCTCTGAACCTCCACGTTCCCCTGCCAGGCACACCACTCAGAGCCAGTAAACCCACGGTCCCTGTGGACTGTCCACCCCCACCACCACCTGGTCCACGACACAGCCCTCACCATTCTCCTGGGCAAAGCGGGAGGCCTCCAGGAAAGTGACCTCCCGCTCAGGGTCCAGGTCCTTCTTGTTGCCACAGAGGATGACCACGATGTTGGGGCTGGCCAGGGTGCGGGCATCCGTCAGCCAGGCAGCCAGTGAGTTGTACGTCTCCCGGCTGTGGAGAAGGGAGAGGGGAGGGAGGCAGTGCAGAGAGGAGCCACCCATGCCCTGCCCCACCCACCCCGGGCACCCACCTGGTGATGTCGTACACCAGCAGGGCTCCAGCTGCCCCTCGGTAATAACTCCGCGTCACCGACCTGTGGGGCCAGGGGGACCCAGTCACCCCCAAGGCTGGGGCCTGCCCCGAGAATGCCCCCCTCTGCAGAGAGACTGGTGGTTCGGAGGTCCCCCTTCACTGCTGGCCCATCCCCCAAAACCTGGCCTTGGTCGGGTTGCCATGCAATTCCTCTCTGTTCTTGCATCCTTGCAGTCCCTCTCTCTTTGCCTCTCTCAGCTTCTATCTCACTTAGCTGGCCAGCTGCCTCTGTCTGTAAGTCTCCCGTCTTTGTCTCTCTCTATGTCCCTGTCTTTCCATTGGTCTCTTTTTCTCTCTATGTCTCGTACATGTGTGTCTTTTTTTAAGTTTAATTTTAATTTTTTTGATGGTCTTGCTCTGTAGCCCAGGTTGGAGTGAGTGGCACAATCTTGGCTCACTGCATCCTCAAACTCCTGGGCTCAGTCTCCCAGGGGAGGGATCCTCCCACCTCAGCCTCTGGAGTATCTGGGACTACCAGTGTGCACCACCACACCTGGCTAATTTCTTTTTTTTTTTTTTTTTTTTTTTT